GATTATTGGCTCCAAATTGCAAGTGGCTTCATATACCTCTCGAAGTCTTCTTTGCGCTTCTGTCAGTCCTATGCAGCGAGTCAGAATACCTCCTGGCAGGCGTCTGTAGAGTTCGCTGAAGATAACCACATAGTCCTTCAAGTCCTTGATGTTGCTTCCCTCGATCAGACTTTCTTTCACGGATTTTCTCCAATCCTTTTCCTCCAGCGGCTCCTCCTGAGCCGTTACTTCAACTGCTGGAACATCCCTTTTTATCACGGTGATGTTGGGCTGTTCTTGGATAAATGAGAGCTTTGACCTCAATGTAGCCAAAGCATCGGCGTATCTATTGGTGACTCCCGGGATATGTTCCAGCAGCACTTGCTTGAAAGAACCGATCAGTTTTTCAGCAGCTGTGCGATATGGTGCCAATGTTGACTCCTTCACAGCGAAGCTTCCTTGTAACTGACTTAGCACCAAATTTGAATCGCCAATGATTTTAATATTCTCTATGCCCATTTCCTTTGCTGTAGATAGCCCCATAATGAATGCCTCATACTCCGCCACATTATTTGTGCATGGGAAATTTAGCTTGAATGAGAGGGCCGTGGCTTGCCCTTCGGGGTTGATGAGTACCACACCTGCTCCTCCACCATTTGACGTAGCAGAACCATCGAAGTAGAGGGTCCATGGTTCTTCCTTTGTAACAACAGCCACCGTTTCCGGCAGCTCCCCCAGAATCTCCTTCGAAAGAATTGGTCCTTCTTTTTCAGGAAATAGAGCCAGCATGTCAATCACGGCTTGTCCTTTGATGGCCCTAGGAGTTGTGCATGTGATATCAAATTCGGACAGCTGCAATAGCCACCGTGCAAGACGTCCAGAGAGCACCGATCTCATGAGCAAGTACCTTACGGGGTCGGACTTCACTATGAGCTGTACCTTATGAGCAAGGAAGTAGTGATGCAAGCGCTGCGCAGCATAGACAAGGGCAAGGCATAAAAGCTCGGTCTTTGAATATCTTATTTCAGCTCCCCTTAATTGCCTACTCACGTAGTAAATAGGGCCTTCTTCTCCACTATGGTCGTCTTGAGCAAGTAAGGCCCCAACCGCTGTGTTTGTTGCAGCTAAATAAAGCTTGAGAGGAAGTCCCGGAATGGGTGCTCTCATGGTGGGCAGCTTAGTAATTATTTGTTGCACCTGCAGATAGGCTTCTTGGCATTCCTTGCTCCATTCGTATGGGCTGCCCTTCTTGAGTAAGGGAGTAAAAACACTCATAGTGGCAGCAAGACCTAAGATGAAGCGTCGAATATAGGACAATCTCCCCATGAAACTTTTCAACTCCCTTGGATTTCTTGGAGGCGCAAGGGAATTTATAGCTCTTGTTTTTTCAGGATCTACGTCTATGCCACGCTGATGCACTTGGAACCCCAAGAATTTTCCGGATGACACCCTGAATGCACACTTTTTGGGGTTCATTTTTAACCCATACATCCGACATCTTTCCAGCACCTTCCTCAGCACCGCTCGATGGCCTTCTCTAGTTTTTGACTTCACCACAAGATCATTCACATAGTCTTCCACCTCTTTTCCCATCATATCGTGAAACACCGCTGTCATGGCTCTTTGATAGGTGGCACCAGCATTTTTAAGACCGAACGGCATGACTGTGTAATAAAAATTCCCATATGGTGTTCGAAAGGCCGTCTTCTCAGCATCTTTGGGTGACATTTTAATCTGATTGTAACCGCTAAACCCATCCATGAATGATAGCAAACCTTGACCCGAAGTTGAGTCAATTAGGATATCCATGTTGGGTAGCAGGAATTCATCCTTTGGGCAAACTCGGTTGAGGTCTCGATAGTCCGTGCATATTCTAATCACTCCGGTCTTCTTTTTCACGGGAACAATATTTGCTAGCCATGTTGGGTGCTTGATTGGCTTGATGAATCCAGCAGCTAACAACTTCTCAATTTCCACCTTGATTTGCTTTTCAATTTCAGGATGAAAATTCCTCCTTGGCTGCACAACAGGTTTCGTACCAAGCTTAATATTCAATGTATGGCTTACCAAGTTTGGATTTAAACCGGGCATTTCCTCGTAGCTCCAAGCAAATACATCTCTGAATTCTCTTAACAAAGGCACTAAGGCCTCCTTCTCCTCATTTGTTAAATGGATGCTGATGGAGATAGGCTTTGGGGCAGAGGGGTCGTCACTCAGATTAATTGCTTCCAGCTGCTCAGCTACGGCTGTTGATCCATCTTGCATGTGTCTAGGTGCTATCATTGGCTCCTGGAAAGCGCAAGACGGGGATGTTTTGTTATTTGGACCCTTACGGCTGTTTGTTTGCATGGCTTCTCCTCCATACTCGGGGCTTTCCCATAGGACACGGTCAAGCCCCCAATCCCGTCATAAGCTCTACACGATGCATCCGTCTGGCAGTGTCACTTTCAAGCATTGGGAATGATTGTAGGCATGGTTGTTAGCTTCCGAGTGTCTCTTTCTTTCTCGCTCAACGATGGTGATGAGTTCTTCATTGCTTAAATCACGAATTTCAGTCCATGAGGGTAGGTAGATTCCGAAATCCTTAGATGGGTTGCTTCCAGCGCCTATGCACTCAGTGTAAAATTTTGCCTCGGAGTAGTGGGCTTCGTCTTTGTTGAACGGCGCTTGATTCCCAAGTATGCGAAATGGCCTTAGCCCAATCCTTCCCTTCACGCACTGATGGTAAGTAGAGACCACAAGTTTATGCTTGTTGAGCCATGGCCTTCCAAGTAAAGCATGATAAGCCACATCTACATCTACTACATAAAACTTGGTAAGCGACCTAATTGGCCCCACCTTCAGATTTACCTGCACGTGCCCAACCGTGATCTCACTTTTATTCCCGAAATCGCTGATGCTTGTTTGAGATTGGACTATCTTGGATAATGGAATACCAGCTACCGTAAGCACAGATAGGGGCAATATATTGACAAAGGAACCTGTGTCTACCAAAGCCCTTCTTATAAACACATTGTTGATTTGTCCCTCCAAATAAAGTGGTCTTCTATGATCCGGATATGGAACTTCCATGTCTTCATCTATGAAAACGATAGCATTGTCATTTCCCAAGAATGACCTTTGTGGTTGAGCAGCGAAGCAATGAGGATTCGACTCCGCAGAGATGTTCATGAGAGCTACAGAAGCTGCTTCTCTTGCTTGAGGCCCAAAGCCAAGTGGGTCAAAGAGTGACTTGAATTTTGGATTCCTTTGGAGGACTTGTGAGGCCGTAGGTCCCTGCTTCAGACCTAGATAACGTTCCATCACACTTGCTTCGGCCTCCGTAAGATTGTGAAACGTTACAGCAGCTGTTTCCTGCGGCACAGACGAAGCCCCCAAGTAGCATTCTTCCGGCATGTCCATCGAGAATACTTCATTGGCTGTGCTATCATCCCATCCATCGGCAAGGGGCCATGGGGTATTGTAGCTGGAAGGTTTCGAATATTTGCACCAATAAGCTTTCTCCATGTTTCCACAAGGTTCCCAAGTAGCCTCGGGTGGCTTTGGGTCATTTTTCCATGGGTGACATAACTCATCGTCGTCGAGTAAGTCATCGGAGCAGGTGATGACAGCAGCTATCTCTTTTCCCCTTCATTTTGGCAAGGGGTCTTCGTCGATGGTTTGCTTCCTGGAGGGAAGCTCAAGAACTCCTTCATGTATTTTAGCATGTAAAATCCTCCTTAAGCTTTGACAAGCTGTGGTTGGATGCCCCACAAATTGGTGATAACGACAGTACCTATGATCATTTTTCTCCTCTCGGGTGGGGATTTTGTAAGGTCTGAGAGGCTTGATTGCTCCATTAGCAATCATTGTGTCGAGAATAGCATGGAACTCTTCGTCTTTGCAAGGTAATGGTGGGTATGTCTCCCTATCCTTTCGCTTGCGTGAGTTGTAGTCACCCGATGATTTATCGTCCACTGCCAATGTCTGATGCGCCTCCTTCTTCTCACTCCTCCAGCTCCTCTGTCCAGCTGGTTTGACAAACATACTTGTCCTCCTTACTGCTTCCAGCAGCCGAGAAAATTGACTGATGCCAATGTTTTCCAAATAGACTCTATAATCTGCCATGATATTGCTGATGCAAATTTCGACCAGCGCCTCCTCGTCCTTCTCATCATAGCAGTCCAAAGCTAGGTCCCGGAACCTGCGTACAAAGTCCACGGGATCCTCCCCATGTTTTTGGCGAGTGTTGTTGAGTTGAGTGGTTGTAACTCTCTCCTCATGCTGGAAGTACTTTTTGCAGAACCTACTGACCAAATCCTCCCACGAACGAACAGAGCCTGGTGCTAGTGTCGTATACCATGTATAAGCACAGTCGGTAAGGCTCTTTGAGAACTCGCGGAGCCGGAGATTATGGTTGCCAGCATGTGGTCCCAAGGCATCAAGGAAACGGTTGACATGCTCCTTCGGGCTCCCTTTCCTCCCATCGAAGAGGACAAAGCTTGGTGTTTCATAGCCCTTAGGATATGGCTGCTGGAGCAAGCTTGATGGATACGGCGGTTGAGGAATATACTTCCAATCCTCTTGGCTTCTACTCAGCTCTTTTTCCAGCATAGCAATGACATCTTCTTGGGTGACAAAAGATGGTCCCTTTTGTTCAGACCCTTTTCCAGCAGCAGCAAACTCCTCTTGTGGGTGTTTCTCGTTTTCTTCGCTTGACTTAGAGACCGAACTTTTCAGCTCCTTGATCGTGTCTACCATCTCCTTCTGACTTTCTCCCATGGCATGGATGGCAGCGATGAGGTCTGAGAGGGTGAAAGCTCCCTCACTTGCACGCCCTTCTTCTCTAGAGGAGGCATTTTGCCTTGATTCCGAATCACCATGGTCTGGCCCATCTTGAGAAGTCATGTTGTTGCTTCTAGTCTTCTTCTTTAGAGGCATTGGTTCAGATATTGGCTTAATCGCTAGCAGAGTCGCCAATTTATGTAGGGGGCCTTTTCTTCTCTCTCTGAAGGCTGTGGGTTGTGTTATGTTGGGTGGAAGAGGTCCTATTTATAGTTGCTGGGGTTTGTTCTTCTCCAAGAAACCCTAATGGTTTCTTCCCAACTTTGCTAAGCTCTCTTCTTCCTTTCTTCTCTTCATTCTTGACTTACCTTATGGTGGCAAAGTCATTTCTGCCCAATCTCACAAAATCAGAGATTTTGGGTGCTCCAGGCCTCTTCCAGCGGTTGCCTCAGAGGGGAACTTCCCTTTTCCACCCATCTTTTCCCTCTTCTTTCTTCCTCCTTTCATGGCCAATATCTGATGGAGGAAGGAAAATGAATATGCATGCTGGTTCAGAGGATGGCACCCTCCCTTGTACGCCAATATCCCTTGGTCTTTTTACTGCCTTTACTTGGAACTTGCTCCTTCCATGTGTGACCTCCCAGCAGCCCCCTTTTTTTATGCGGATCCTTTGGCCTTTCGTTGCTTCCTGCTTCAGCCAAGTGCTGAAGGCCTTGGACTCTTTTATTCAAATGGTATGAGCCTTTCAATATAGAAAACCAAGTCATCTATTAAGTGGGCTAAATTCACCAAATATTTGGGCTTTATAGGCTAAAGTAATGGGTTATTTTGGTTGGGCTACCCTAGTTGACTTAATGGGCCATTTCCTCTCTTGTGCTTACCCACATTTGGGTCTAAGAAAATGGGCTTGAGTCCCGAGGCCCCCAAGCGACCTGAGACTTCCATTTTCCGACCCATGGGTGGGCCCCATGATAACTCGTTACCATCCATACCACAATCCTGCTCAAGCAAGCCCCAGGCATTCGAGTGGCTTGGGCCCACTTAAGCTTGTTGTGGGATAATAATTTCCTGCTTGGCATGGTAAGTCGCTTGGCGTGCTTTTTTTAAGTATGACGCTTGGTAGGATAATTGGCACGGATTTGCAGAGCTAAATGCATCTTATAATTTTAATCTCAATTTCTAGCACGGTAGATCTTATTTGGCATGATATGGCTTGCGCATGGCAGACTTCTGTATACTTTTAAACCAGGTCTTTTTCCAATAATATATCGTCTTGGGCTATGGATTTATTCGGGCCCAACCATGGATTTTTTGGGCCTCAACACTTAGCAATTCTTGAAAAATCTCGTTCTCCTAGACCTAGGGTCCAAGGAAGTTTTGGTCACTCATCCTTGGATCTAATCTAAGAGTTGAGAAAAAACTGATTTAAATATCAATTTGTCATTATTTTATTACTTTTACTGTACAAAATATTAATTTAACTTAAACAAAAACAAAAACTTAAAAAAAGAAAAAAATCACTCCAACCAAAACACGCTCTCTCTCAGAAAACCAAGAACATGTTCTTCCTCTATTATCTTTCACAACTACCTTCAACTCTGGCATTGAACACAAAAATCAAGAACACGTGCCGTTTAAGATTCACTCTAATTCTTATTGGTAATCTATTTCATCTCTTGATTTAGATTCAAATATTCAATTTTTTCAGAAACAAAAGAAAAATTTATTGACCCAAATCCGGAGCCATCAAGCCATCCCTTCACACTTTAATGTGGTTGAATTTCAAGGACCCACAACCAAGTCACTTTCATGTTGTTCTCTGCCTTTGTGATCAATTTTATGTAATTGTTAGATTTAAATGATTCATGAACCTAGTTTGGGAAAACTTCAATTTTTAACAAACAAATTTTGGGCTTTTTGTTTTTATAGTTCATGAACCCAGACTGGGGTTTCTGCAACTATATTGTATTTTCATGAAAGGTTCATGTTTTCTTATTCACTAGGCGTGAAGGAGAAAGATGATTGGCTTTGGAGATGAGTTTTTTGTTCTTGTTTTTCATCTCTCATATTAAACTCTTCTTTTTTTCAAAAAAAAAAAATTACTTTTATTATATTGACACACCCACCCACATTGTTTTGTACTTTTTCACCTATTATCCATGACAACTCAAGGGCAATTATTATTTATGTGGGATTAATTTTATTTTTATATATGAGATTAATAAATAAAAATTTGCTAAGTATGTATAAAAAATTCTGAATATTTTGGTAATTTTCAGAATTTGTTTCGATTTTTAAAATTTTTTCGGCTGATGTCAGCTCCCTTAGGCAACAGCTTGGGCTATCTTGCCTCGGGCCTTGCCTGGGCTGGACGTCACCGCTGGAGCTGATTTTCGAGAGCGGGGCCTTTTGCCTGGGCTGGGCTGTCCGCTGGAACTACTCTTACGCGTATCCATTTATTACCCATCCCACCTCTTGGAATCCATTCCTCCAAAAAAATCCTCTCCGAATCCAATATCTTCCTTCCCCTTATGCCAAGAAAGCAAGAATCAAACTCATCAGCTATAGCACCCTCCCTCATGTGCCCTTGATTGCTCGTCTGCTGTCGGCGGTCAGGTACTTTTCTGTAGCAGCGACGTCGTCTATCAGGTACTGTGCTCTCCTCCGAAACTGAGTCGTTAAATCTTTCGATTAGTTATGAAACGAGACAGTCTTACATTTATTTTCATTCCCGCATCTAATGATGATTTTGCATTCAACAGGGTGCAAGTTTGGCTATCCAGTCGATTTGTTAATTGCCGATGGCCAGCTCTCTACAACGCTTCTCCAGCCGTGCTTGTGTTTCTCGGACCACCATTGTCCAAGGGTCAAAACCATTCCTGGTGGACGCATATGTCGAGGTCAAACCTGGTGAGGTCGGGATTGTCCCTAGCATTCCAGAAGAACATTGTCACCGTGAGGTACTATCATAATCTTTTTCTTTCCAAAATTTAATTTGATCAACTTATATTTTGGCCTACTCTTCAATGGGGCATACAATTCCTTTTGTTTTGATGGAGTAATCTTTTGTGTGTTAGGGAAACAGTTTTTGGTATGCCAATCCACTTGGGGCATTTGCGAAAATTGTTATATCTGTGTGAAAATAACAAATCTTGGAGTCTGAACTTGTTCTTTTTCCATGAAACCACAAGTTTTTCATAGTCACCACACCATTTTCTACTTTCTTCAAAAGGGACTGTGCTTGGTAATATCTGTTACTCTTTTCTTTTTCCTTTTAATTCTCATATTGGCATACATGACAGGTTGTAATAGGCTCACCTGCTAGGACTGCAACTCAACAAGGATCAGGGTAAGTTTGCGAGATCGAAGTATGTCCTTTTTGCTGTTTACTGTTTTCATTTCTTTCGTGTTGAATATTTGGGTTTTGGGGTATTGGAATTTGCTTTGGGGTGTTGAATGTTCTTTTGTGGTTAATAGCAGTATATAGGTGTTATCCTTTTTGCTTAACATAATCTTGTGCACCTGGAGCTATGAAACTTAAGATACAGTCTCATCATGCATTCATCTAATGGCTGAAAATTTGTGTAAAAAATGTGATGCCACCCACTAGAATACCACTAGAATATGTATGGATGTATATACATATTATGATAATATATATTCTAATGATGAAAAATGTTCTATTTCCAGACTGTCATATGCATTTGTCTTCAAATATACGTCTGGCAGCAGAACATTATTCCTCTAATATATGTTTGTATAATTGTATATAATATTAGGAATACCATATTGAGATTTTGCGCAGTAACAATAATCAAGCCACTCTTCTTAAATTCAGTACTGAGACCAAACTACTAGACATTTAGAGTTTTTTTCCTTTCTTTTTGTCATATTTGACTTTGAGATTTTAACTGCAACCTTTTAAACTATCCAAAACACTTGAAATAATATCAAAGGTTCCTGAATTGTCCAACGTAACCACAAAAGTTCTCTGCAGGTCCTTATCATAAGACCAAACTACTAGACATTTAGAGTTTTTTTTTCTTTCTTTTTGTCATATTTGACTTTGAGAGTTTAACTGCAACCTTTTAAACTATCCAAAACCCTTGAAATAATATCAAAGGTTCCTGAAATGTCCAACGTAACCACAAAAGTTCTCTGCAGGTCCCTATCAAGATTTGCTACTGCTCTTTCGCGCCCTTTCAGCACTGCCACTACAGCAAATGAGACTCAGACTCAGAAGCTTGAGCGCATCGCTGACGAGCTCCTCAACCTCACAAAGATCGAGAGGCACGATTACTCCATCCTCTTCAGGCTGAAAATGGGCCTCAATCGGTATGGCCCGGCAATCTCTGGAATTGGCCCGACATCTTCTGAATCTGGGCCTGCCTCCACGGATGCCAAGGCCGTTGAGAAGACTGCATTTGATATAAAGATTGAGAAGTTCGATGCAGCGGCAAAGATCAAGATCATAAAGGAGGTTAGGACTTTCACTGACTTAGGACTGAAGGAGGCTAAAGAGTTGGTAGAGAAGGTCCCTGTTGTGGTGAAAAAGGGCCTGACTAAAGAGGAGGCAGGGCCCATTGTTGACAAGCTTAAGGAGTTGGGCGCTACTGTGGTATTGGAATGAGATGAGTTCTATTCTTTTGTTTTGCTTTTTAGTTTATTTTATTTTAGTTTTTCTCTCCCCATAGATTAGTGAAAATGAGTTAAATGATAAATGGAGACAATATTTTTTAGAGTTTGTTGAATTGGGACTCTTATGTTTAGGTTTAGGATGGTTCCTAATTTTTCCCTCCACCTAATGGTTTACTTTTGTTCTTGTCTTTCATATGATCCACCCTTGTTCTTATTGTTATATTATCGACCTAAAAATATGCAGATTTGCTGAGAAATGCTATGTTTATGGCTATTTTTGAAGTTCTCGTCAAGATTGGGATTTTAGGACTTATGCTTGAAGCCTGTGATTAGTTTGTGTCTGGTGCTTAGTTTGTTTAATGGGACTCCCACCATTACACAAGGACTAGGGATCACCATATAGGCTGATTATTTCACTGTCACAACCCTCTTGGACTTATAATTTATCGCATACAGAACATTGAACTTTTTCTTTTTTTCTTCATGAGAAATAGATGGATTTGGTTTGGTGGATTGTCTCAGCTGCTCGTAATTGCCAAGTTTACCATTTTCGGATTTACGTATTCTTTTTATATTTTATATTACGGTTTGAACTTTTAACCCCTTCTAACATTGTAGAAGAGAAACAGTATGAGACTAATAGCTAGTTGGTGTGGCATTTAGGTATTCAAACATGCATATTATCTGGAGAAAGAAGACGAAAATCCAAACATGGGCAAGCCAATTTTTGCTTATCCATGGTGAATACAATAAATCCAGGAACTTCAAACATGCATGTGAAGAGATCTTTCAACCCTTTTCAGCATCATGCCCACTTCTTTCACTCCTTCAAAGCAGCAAAGATGCTCATTTTGGGAGAGCATGTTGGGGCTGAGGTGGGGTTAGCCTTGTATTGTCATAACTAAAACTTATTCAATTATAGTTTGATCAACTTTTAATAGATTTTTATCAGCAATGGTCTCTGAACTGTTACAGACTATCAATTTGGTCCTCAAATTTCGAAATCGCTCTATGTTCTCAGGCTCGGATGTCATGCATCAATTAAGTCCCTGCTGCCGTCAAATTTGTTTTCAACTCTTTGTTAAAAACGATTGCGAGCGGAGAACACGACCACAATTTTGAGTGTAAAATGGCAAATTAAACATGTGAAAACACAAATTACAAAACAAACAGATGACATCCCAGCTTGAGCAACCATAGAAGTAAATGGAAGCAAAAATCAAGAAGACAAATAAAATTTTATTCGACGAATACCGTATAAGTAGTCCACACAAGTACAACTGTACAAGAAACTTATTATTAATGCAAATCCCAAACTAATTAAGCTCTTAAGTTGAAGGTCAAGTGAACCAAGCTGTTAAATTCTTTAATAAAATCATATGACAGAAAACTAAAAGTAAGCTGCATCTATTCATCTGCAACAACACTGACTTCATCTTTCTCCAGCAATTCATAAAATGACCTGGTCTTCTTCTGCAAATCCCAGTGATACATTTTCCAAAAGCTCCCAGCAGCAAAAGCAGCCACAAGACCAAAACACATCTCCCTGATCACGCTTGGTCCTTTCAGGGTGGGATGAGCAACCCTACCTGCCATTTTTCACTTAAATCTGCAATTTCAAAAACAAAACAATAAAGTTAATTATAAAGTATTATCATTTCCCTGATTTTCAATCGAATCTTTCATAATTAAGCTTTTTATCCCCAAATTGCTTGTTAAGGTTGATTGTACTATCTCTCTAAATCAAATCAAACTTGTGACAAGAAAATTTGTTTTTAATTGAAGTTTTGTCCCCCCAACATAATGCTGGTCATGATAAATTACTTTGTTTCAAGCATGAGCATGTAAGGAACAATGACAGAGTATGAAAAGAAGAAAGAAGAGAAAAAAAAAAGGAGCGAGTGGTTTCAGGTTTGAATCTGTGTGTGAGAAAACCTCTTCCCCTTTCTAACTTTGGTATAAATAAATAAATAAAAGAAGAAGAAAAGAACCATATACTCATGTAGTTCATCCAATTTTACAAAATAAAAGAAAGAAAAGAAGAAAATCACAATACATAATTATTCCCCATTTTTTCTCAATCATAAACTATCAATAAATGCCAAAGGTGTGGTGGATTCCCCTCCCCCGCATGGCACCCAGTATCAAACCCCAGTGGGATTTCTTTCCTCCAATGTAACCCCTAAAAAAAACACTATCAATAAATGGTGAAATTAACTCATGAATTCGCAATTATCTAAAAGAAAAGAAGGATTTATTCAAAGTTCCCCCCATCAATAAATGCCAATGGGTTCCCACCACAGTGGTGGTGGATTCCCCTCCCCGCATGGCACCCAGGATTAGGGATGGCAATGGGTCGAATCGGGGGTGGGTATGCCATTCCCATCCCCATCCCCGTTAAGCTCTTTTCCCCCATCCCCACCTTCATACCCGCAATATTCATATCGGGGATTCCCCATCCCCACCTTCATTGGGGAATGGGTTCCCCGACCCGCCCCATTATGGAAGAGAAAACCAATATATAACTACTTTGTTGAAAAAAAAAATAGTACGAAGGCAAGATATAATATATACTTATTAGACAATATAAGAATGTTTATATATGTATTGGAATTTAACTAAATAAATAAGTAGTGTGGTTTAAGATTTGTATAAATTATATAAGTACATAATATAATAATAAAAAACTTAGTCAGTACAATTACTTTAATAGCATATTTATATATACTATAAA